TCCAAAACTGAGCGTGTACTTTCTAAAACCAGATATTGCGGTTTTTATGTTTGAGGAGATTCCTGTTGTTGTAAGCGCTGTCACCCACTGACATGCAAACGCATCCTCTTTGCGTTTGCATGTCCAGTTCGAGACCATGATGGTAGATGTGTTGGCTGATGGCAAATCATAAGGCCTGTGGTGGATTTGGCGTCAGAACTGTAAGTGTTGATGGCCTGCAAGCTGCTCAGCCCAGGTGCACTACTTCGATCTAGGTTTTCAGGCTGGCTTGTCTGCGTATTGGATCTGAGGACAGCCATAACACATTTTTATAAAGTTACAAAGAAAGTGGAAGGAGATGGTTAAAAAAAATTACAAGTTTGCCCAAAGCTTTACAAATGATTTTTTTCCCCTATCTAGAAAATTAAAGAAATTACCTACATGCACTCCGAAGGGATATTGGCAGGTGAGCTGAAGCACGGTCCTCTTGCGCTGGTGGACAAGCTCATGCCCGTTATCATGATCATCATGAGAGACCACACATATGCCAAGTGCCAGAATGCTCTCCAGCAGGTCATTGCACGGCAAGTAAGTACCTGTAAAAGTTTACAGTGCATCAGAAATGTTGCTTTTAATATAAAAGCAGTTTACAGGGCACCCAAACTGCTTGTTTCAGTGTCACCGCCTAAAATGTGAATTCAGTAGATAGTCTGGGCATTTCAAGTGCAATTTTTGCATCAGATTGCAGAAGCCTGGTGGGGCTTGTTTACCCCTTAAAATATGCTACAGGGATGCCCATGGGATGCTAAGCTGTTTTGTTCTAAATTAAGTAAAAGGTTCTTGCCGCTGGCACTCTGAACAGAAGTGAGAAAAGAACCTTCCAGACGTGTTTTTCTTCAACATTTCCCTTTGTTGCAGGGGCGACCTGTTGTGATTTGTGATAAGGAAGACATCGAGACGATTAAGAACAATAAAAGAACAATCAAAGTTCCGCATTCAGTGGACTGTCTGCAGGGGATCCTGAGTGTTATCCCCCTTCAGCTTCTGGCTTTCCACCTGGCAGTTCTCAGAGGATACGACGTAAGTACAGTGTGTTCCTTCCCCTTCTGCTCTCGTGTTTGCTATCTGCAGGTCTGGAAAAGACGCGTTGGGTGATGTTGGAAGTCTGTGGGGGTTGTCTGTATAATTGCTTGAGCTGCTGGAGCGACCGGGTTAAATGGTAGACCTGGCAATTACGGAAGCTTCTCATGAACAAAACGTGAAGGCAGTTTAGTACGTTTGGCCGAGCCTTGTGCAGTTTGAGTTTGGACATGTGTCTGTTTTCTGGTACGAGCGTACAGTTTCTGGAGGGCTGGTAGGAAGCCAAAAGGAAGGTAACAATCCACAGAAGGATGTTGGACAAACAGAGTCTGTCTGTGTTAGGTATTTGATCTTAATACAGACACTGGCCGTGACCTTTTATCATTTGAGCACTGTAACAACGTAGACTAAAGCGACTAACTCCTTAGTTCTTGACAGAGGAGTCAGAACAATTAGGCTTATGGACTTTTTCTGCACCAGTGGTCCTAAATTAACAGTTCAGTCGTTTTCAATTTAAACGCAGAACAAATGTTCCACACATTACAAAGTTATACACAAACACAGAAAGTGTGTAAATACTCACAAGCATGTTCTTTCTCCTCCCTCTCTGCAGGTTGATTTTCCAAGAAATCTGGCCAAGTCCGTAACTGTAGAGTGAAAGATCATCTGAATCATAGGGGCAAAGGGGAATTAAATGAAAGACTTTTTTTGGTACCAAAATAACTCGATTTTAAAGTCCCCTCGGTAAATCTTATTTTGGTAAATCATTGTTTGTGTATAAAATCACGGTAATTCCATTACATTAGTGATTGTCAAATTGATTCCACACGCTACGTCAATAGCTTTGGGCTTTTTGGGTTTTTTTGAACAATAGATTTCCATGACAGATGTTAAACGGTTTTCTTTAAATATTGCTGAGTCTTCTAGGTAAGGGGCCCTCCAGTTTACTTTAAGATAATGTCATTGTTTCTTATCCAGTGTGGCTCGCTCCAATTGTCGATGAGAAACCACTGAATGAATTGCCTGTCATGCCCTCAGGCAGTGAAGCAGGATACCTGAATATACAACCGGAACAAGAGCTGTTACTGGTCATGCTTGTGCAGATATCTTAACAGTGAACGAAACTGTAAACAAGCATTTGGGGTAAATTTCTGCCTCATGTACAAAAGGGAATTCAACTGACCTGTCACAACCTCCTAAATTTTAGGCACGTGATAAATGTGCTAAGAAAATAATGTTGCCTCAGAAAGATTTTTATCAACGCCAAATACCTAGCAAGTGACAATCTTGTAGACTCGCTGGGCCGCGGCGCGCTGCGTAACACCAGCGTAGCCCGTGAAGACAGTGGGACTCGCGCCTTCAAGTGTAAATGGAAGCAGTGGCTGACGCAGTATGGATGCTTACCAAAGCGGGGGGAAAGAGAGGGGTATGAACAGTGCTCAGTTTGTGCTGGCGTTTTGTTGTCGCTGTTGTTTTTTGTAGAAGTCTTCCCGTGTTGACAATTTTTCCCCCTGAACTGAGCACTGTGGCACTACAAACACATCCTAAGGAACCAGCTTTATGCTGCTGCAGTTCACTTACTAGTCTGAATGCGTAGGGGAAAGTTTCTACCTTGTATCTCCCTGGCACTAAAGCTCCCTTTCTGAGGCTTACTACAGTAGCCAAAGTCCCGTAAGGAAAGCATGGGTTCTGCTTTACTTGGGAGCAGTTCCTATGTGACTTGTGTCAAATTCGGCTGGTTTAAAATTGGAGGGGATAAAAAAGGCTCAAGAGACACAACAGAAATATATGTCTTGGTAATAGTGGTATAACAAGCTTGCAGAGAATCAGAAATTACACAGAAAATATGCCTTCAAGACTTAACACTGACTTTTTCAAAGTCGTTAAAAGGAAGTTAGCTATGTATTTCCTAATGCAAAAAGGTGAATTTCCTACCAGCTTGATGGGGTTTGAATTAGCTTTGCACACGCACTATAAAAAGAACAATACGCTACAAGGCGTAAAGCAATGCTTGCCAGGTGCTGGTGAATATTCCCGGCACGCGCTGCCCCCGAAGAGTTGCTTTAACAAATGCCGTGCGTGGGGACTGCCCACTGCCCTTCGAAACCTGGCTCTCCTTGCACAGGACGACTGTTGCTAAGCGGCAGCAACGCAGGCTGACTCGTACCATCGAAGGTGACTGCTCAGGCCCAGGCGTTTCCAAAGACCGTGGCTGTAGCAATAAAACCGCACTAACTATTCAACTTCGATTCAGTATCAGCTCACGGCTTAGTTTTATCATGAGAATGAAATGCTGCATGCCTGGAAACAGTTTCTCAAAGCCAATATGTGCACGTTTATTAATACATTGTATTCAGACTACTAATTTATGAACACATTGAGCTGCCAGTGTCTGTTTAAGAACAAAGTAGTAAATACTGCGTTTTTATTTATACAGCATTTGCTTACGAGGCACCGACTCGTAACAGTTACGTGCCTCTGCCTAAACATGACCAGTAGGCTTCCCTGCTTCATCTGAAGACAGTTCCTCTTCCTCCTCCTCCCGCTCAGCTTGCTTAAGGGAAGAGAAACTCTGCAAACCTTTCATGGGGAGGGCTGGAACCAAGGCAGGGTTCCCCCCCGTATCCCCCCCAGGCAAAGGACTTGCAGTATCACATCCAGTGTTCTCGTTAGCATGGGATCTCATGTGATGAAAGAACCCTGCGAGAGAATTATTTTAAGATCTTTTTCTCCTGTTTTGCTCAGAAGAAAAGCAGCAAGCATTGCTTTTATCTAGCCTTGTACAGATGATTGTCCGCTAGCTTACCAAGTCTCCTAGCAAAAAGGATGGTAGACATCCCTGTTAAAATACAAGTTGCTGTTCAGTAAAAGTTCAATAACGCAGGCTGTTAAATATGTATGAAAGTAAGTTGTATACCAAGAGGACCAAAGAAGAGGAGTCTAAGTTAGAAATGTAAGTCTGACACTACCATGTCAGGTGTAACTGTACGGATACTGCTGACCTGTTTGGTTTTATGCTGTGATAGACAAATCCTTATTCTTTGTAATTTAAGGCATTAAAACTCGTGACAGATTCTTCATTGTCAGAAGTAAAGGTAGCATTCGCCCCCTGCATTCTGCAAGTTGCCCGAAGCGTATAAAACTGCCTGCCAAAACAGAGGTTTAGTCGCTACTTGCATCTAGGCTGTCGGACGTTGTAATGCTTGATATCAAAGAATGCTGTGGAGCACACTTGCTGTGAAGAATTTTTCTGATGAGCATGGTAGGGAATCCGTTAAGCATCTCATTGTTGTTAATTGCCATGCCTGTGTGAAGTGAGAATGTATAAAGGACTCTTCTTAGCTTTCCTTACCTCATTTCGTCTAGATGTGTTGCATTTTGATGAACAGATGATGTTTCTCTTTTCCTTAGACAACTTTTAGAATGTCTTGTGGTATTTATTAACAGCCAGTCAGTCTTCTGCTCTCCAAAATGAATGTTTTGCTTACTGAGCCAGTAAAATTCCCTTCTCCCTAATTGAGGTATTTAAAAATTCAGGAGCCCTGTCACTAAAATTGAGCCACAGGTAAATACAGATAAAGGCCTTTGCCATTTGGGATAGCAGCTGCCTATTACTGCGTATTTTTGTCAGAGTTTATTTTGATCCTCATCTATGTCTACAGAGGCTTAAAGGGAAGCACACGCCCGTAGATCTTAGGGTTTTTTAATTACCAAAGACCAGAGGACTTCCATCTCAGCACTTGTTGTTCCTGCCCAACAGATCTCAGGCAAATTCCACACCAGACACAGTAGGAAATTAAGTCGTACGTGGAATACACTTCTGTGAGAAAGGTTTTCCCTCCTAGCTCTACTGAAGGAAGCCTATAGACAGTTATTTCCTGGATTTGTCAGATGAGTACGTACTGCCTGCGTGCATATTCTCACCAAGAGCCCAAACCAGTATCTGGGTACCTGTGTCCTTGTCAGGTGCACCAATGACATAGCAAATGCCGTCTCCTTTTGAGCGTGCTCTTACTGACTTGAAGGTAATGACGTGCCACTAACACAGGGACGCCCTTCTACCCAGAAAGCTGCCTTGACAGCGGTATTTGTGAAGTCTCAACCCCTCTGCACTGAAAGAGCTGAAAGCTTCACACAGGCCATTTCCGAATCAAGTGGGAGGGAGCTCATGGACATGACACGATATGTAATCAGCCTTAAGACTAGCCTAGACCCACTAGGTTCGGTTAAGCTGCTGATTGAAACGTTTAAAGGCATAAGGAAGACCAACACATTAGTGCAAAATGAGGCTTTTCTCCTCTCTGGCCGTCACTAGTAGTCCTTGACCCCCCAAGTAGGTGCCTGGCGGCAGCAAGTCAGGTGGAGGGAGGGACTGAAGTAGCCCGTCAGTGTTTAGCTGTGGCTAATTTTAGATCCTACCTGAATGTACCAAACTTGCCTCAAAGCATGGAGTTCCTCCTCTACATCGGAAATGGGAAGACGAAGAAACAAAGAAGAAGTATTTCGTTTTAATAAAGGAAAGAAAACTATTTGCCTTCATTTCAGTTTATGTAAATAGACATTTGAAGTGGCAGATACCACCATTTCTTCCCTTTAGACCTATTTGCCTCTGCTTGTACATACTCTGCTGGCTTGGTTTGTGGGGACCAGTCTGTATCTTGTTTCCTGTTCCGTGCTGTCTGCAGAAGATGTCTTTCTTTTGTCTGTAGTGTTTTATAATTTGGGGTTTGTCTTTTTGCTTACTTTTTGTATCTCACCCTTTGAATAAAATCAAGTGCCCTACATTAAACAAACGAACGGAATTACTGGTCTTTAGTGAAATCCATTTAAGAACAGGTAACCCCTATGAAAGTTAAGCGGAAGAACAGAGGGCTTAACTCGCCTCTCTCCTAACCGGCCAGGCTTTTTTTCATGTCTGAGATGATGACAGAATATATTCCAGCTGCCCTTTCCTAACCGTGGTTTTGCCACTAACCAAGAAGACAGCCCATAAAATACCCCTAAGGCACAACAGTAGGTATTACCTTCTGTACCTTAATTCTCATAGAACTACCCCTTTTCTATCACTAAGCAAGACAAAAATCGCAGCCAGCAGAGCCCGCCCACAACCCATGCTTAGTGAATATTACTCATGGTTTCTTTTCCAAGAAGGAAACCTGTTTGGGTAACGTACAGACGGGGTGCTTTGCAGACCCAGCAGTGGAGGACTACGACACAGATGCTGAGACAGTACAATTAAGTGCACATTCTTGTAAGACAACAGCTGGGGGCTTAAAGATTGTTCATGTCTAAAAAATGCCTGGGTAACGTTGTAAGAGAAACCCACAATGACAAAAGACTCTGAAATTCTACCCCTCCTCCAGTCAGAGCCATCCGTGGATTAATTTCCTCGGGGACCTTCACCTCTCCGGGGAAGAACATCAAACACGATCATTTAATTTCCTAGGTAACATGAGCAGCTTGGACTTGCTCTTCTCACAAATACCTTTCCTATACAAGTACCAGTATTAAAAGGTCACCAGGCTACTTTTTAAGGCTTATTGCCTTGAAACAGTGCACATATGTCCTTACCGTCACAATAAAAGTCGGTGACTACGTAGATGGGAGCGAGGCTGTCCACTTTTGCTTGCTCTGACCTGTAAAAAAACCATGGCAGTTCCAGCTTGTATTACAGTCATAAAAATGGGTCAAGCAGCTCAAGGCTTTAGGCTTCCGTTGCCATAGCTGTACGTCACATCTGCGTGGGACGCCGAAGGAGGAGGGAATATTGCAATGGATCGGCACGGAAAGCTGACTGTGTGCAGAAGCTTCCCGAGGTGACTCCAGGGCTGCACCACCCCCAGTCCTTCGGTCGGCACAAGACGCCCGTTCTCAGGCTCTACACCGCAAAGCAGAGAGTTGCGATTCTC